TAAAATAAAATGCTTTTCCTTCACTTGGAATGAACTCGAACTTCTTGCAATTTCCACCCACTGGTCCTAATTTAATCTCTACAAAGAGACAGGAAAAGAATATACCTGCATGTGTATCATACCTTAATAAAATTCACTTTAAAATAATTGTTTTTTTAGGTATATATTTTAGTTGTAGTTGGACACAATATCTTTTTTTATTTTTATGTGGTGCTGAGGATCGAACCCAGCGCCTCACAGTGCGAAGCAGGCGCTCTACCACTGAGCTACAGCCCCAGCCCAAAATAATTATTTTGTTAACTCTAGCACTCATCTCTGTTTAGTAATTGCTACTGTTATTGACTTGAGAAAGTAAAGGGAAGCAGTTAAGGACACAAAGCCCCAGGTTGCACCACCTAGGTTGGATTGAGCTTTAATATAAAATGAACCTCAACTGTGTGACTTTGGACAAGTTTTCTAACCTCTTTGTATCCCAGTTCCCTCAACTGAAAAACTAGGGTAAGACTTCAATTGTCTGTGAGAATTAAATGGAATAATATATAATATAAGAGGTAATCCCAGTTCCTGACAGGAATGTTAGTTGTCAAAACTACTATTGCTGTCTCACCTGCTAGACTAGAAAACTCAATGAAAGTGGTTATGTATGTCTGTACATCTCTACAGACCTAGCTTATACACATCTCAACAAATCTAAAGCTATCATCCCATACATTTGACTAAGGAACTTTTTCCTTCCACATGTGCCCACAATACTCTGAACCTAGCCTACCTGTCATTTATCCCCACAATCACTTTACTATTCTGTCTCCACTACCTGAGTCTTGTAAGTAGGTCTGTCTTGTTCACCACATTATATCCAAGAGTGCCTCCCAACATTGGTTATGTAAGTGAATAAACAGCTGTGGGCCTTCATTTATTCTATGAGATGCATTTTCAAAATTATGTGTTTATGAACTGGGGCTGTAGCTCAGAGGCAAACCGTTTGCCTAGAATGCGTGAGGTCCTAGGTTCATCCTCAGCATCATATAAAAATAAACAAATAAAATAAAGGCATTCTGTCCATCTACAACTAATAAAAATGAAGAGAGTCAATCTGTCCTGTTCACTTCTTTATGTGTCCCCTAGTGGACCTGCCCAAATAGAAGCTCCAAAATATTTGAGAAAGGGCTTTATGTTCTTGCTCTTTTAAGTCAAAACGTATTGCCTCTCATAGTTTAATAAGGAATTTAATAAGCCACCCATGAACTCCACAGAAAAGCTACCTGCGCTTTTCAATGTTTCCTCAAAGCCCAAGGTTGGAACAAAATAAGCAGATTAATTATGTATTGAATGATTAGGTGAAAATGTCATTTTCTACGACGGAAAAAAGATAACAGCAAAATGACAACTTAGTCTTGTAGAGAGGCTCTATGAGCGATTTTATTGACAGGTTATTTTGTTGCTTTTTTTCCCCTTTAGTTACATATACTTAATCTCGAGTTTGAAGAGATTATGGAGTATAAAGGAAGTAGAGAGGGCGCAGAGAACAGTTTAAGTACCTCTCGTTCCCCCTCTTGACGTGAGGTCACGACACGTGGCCTCGGGACCAGGCACCGCCACCGCAGTAGAACCCGGGGCTCCGTGGGAGACCTCGCGGTCAGGAACCCGAGGACAAACCTGCGCGCCAAGCCCGCGCGCCAAACCGGAAGGAAATCCCCATGGGCTCCTCTGCAGGCCTGCGGCACTCCAAGCATCCCACCTTGCTGCCCCGCACTCACCACTAGCGAGGCGGTGAACCCCGGCTGCTCCATGTCCCCGCAGACCGGGTCGAAGCTGTCACTAGAGACTGAGCCGAAGCCGGTAGAGGCCCCGTGCGCAGGGCGCCGCCATCTTGGGGGCGGGACCTTCGCTGGGTGCACTTCCGGGTTCCAGTGACGTCAACCACAACAACTGCACGTGCAGCCCGGGGGAGCTTGACTGGGAGGGGCGCGGGGGAAGAGAAACCCGGCCTGGGCGGGTGTGGCCAGCCAAGTCTCGCGGCTCTTCTCGCCCTCCGTTTCCGGCAGCCCTGGGATGATACCGCTAGATGGAGGGAAACTCTCGCGAGCAAAGGAGCCCAAGCTGAGATCTAGGAGAGGTGCCTGAAGGGAGGGCCAGGTGATTC